GACAATAGATATGAAAGAAGAGTGAGATGCAAAGGTCTTTATTTTTTTAGCTTAATAGCAGCTGTACCCTCTCCTGTAGTCTTCGTCTAAAATTTTGCGAAGTCCCTCCTTATCTTCTGCCTTGTTCGGTCAGTTTCGACTTGTGAAGCTAGATCATCGGCATCGACCTCTTCGTCCTCATGGTATTTTCTGTGAACTCGTGTCTAAAAGTTTTGGTTTCAGCGGAAGGCATAAGGGGTGAGTTGATTGATGCGATACTAAACCATTGCGGCTTACGATTAACTATTTGCCGATAACTTGAGCCACTTCACACTACTCTGAACCGTTTGTGTCAAGTCACTGAACCAAAGTACAGTTAGCTGAACCGTTTGTCATTTCGACACTGAACCGTTTCAGTTAACACTTGGCCACTCGTGTTTTTACTGAATCAGTTTAACAAGGGTAGCTACATAGTTTCTGAATTGTATAAACCATTTTTGTTTGAATATTTCATCTCACCCAAGGCGACTTGTCTATTTACTGGGATACCTGTGGTAGCCCAGTCATAAAATATAAAATGCCTTTGTTTTTTTGTCGTCTTTTTTTTTTCCTCCACCAAAAAAACGGAAAAATTGCGCAATAGTACCCAGTGGTCATTGGGCCCTCAACACCATGACAGTTAACTGTGATCCAATGAGGTGTTCACATGCTGATCACGCGTGTTATCTTGATGATGATTGACGTTGTCATACATGGACAGGGCCGGGTCACATGACAAACCACGAGATTTTGGGTCATAAAACTCTTTTGTCAGTCGTTTTGTATTTCAACGTGTTTGGATGACGATCATCTGGAGCATTGTGGCGCAAACGCTCAAAATACTTACAGACGCATACACAAGCCGTATTGTTCGCGGCCAATCCACGCTAAAAGATGTTATTGAGCGGTAATTTTGGAACGGATTGAGTCGCGAACGCTTGAAAGTCATGAAAGCCTTGTATGCCTTGTATGCCTTGTATGCCTTGTATGCCAATTATGCCAATGTCTTAGTTGAAAAACGTACACTCGTTGTAAAAAGCAAAATCTGAAATCTGAAACCAAACTGCATATACTCTATGTAATCTATTGAACAACACTACTACCGTGAGACTGAAGAACAAAACTATAATGGATACAAACTGCTTGTGAAGAAAGACGCCATGTTGGATTCATTTGATGCCAGGGAACATAGCCACGACAACAGTGCGAATGGTATTAATTTCACGATCAGAAAGGTGAATCTTATGTTTGTTTTCATTATAGTTGTATGGATATACTTTTTTAATAAATACATGATCCAAAATCCTGTGTTTTTTGTGTATAATGTTATTATGCTAAGTATTGTTTACGTGATTGTCTTGTCACAGGCGGCCCAAGCTCATACCTCGAGAAAAAGCCCACGATTAATTCATGAACGCGTTACGCGTTGTGTGACCCGGTGTTAAGTTACGATAGGAGCCGTTGAAAATTTGAACACGTTATAAGGAATAGTATAGGGATCGAAATGTGGTCGATTTACAACGATAAATATTTCGAAATATGAATATTTTTCTCGTAAAATCAACAAAACTCACTCATACCCTGTGTATCCGTTGTAGTTCTAGCGATTTCTGCCGTTTTAATCTTGCTTTATTTATTTATTATCTTTATTTATTATCTACTTTTATTACGTTGGTAAAATCTGTACAGAAATCCCACCAACCAACTCGCGCGCAAAGTAAGAAGACTATATTGAAGGCTTGAAATTATATTACGATCGATTTTCATCAAGAAATGGGCTAGGAGTTTTCCACAATAGTGCAAATAATCGTGAAGGCTAATCGCGGAAAAGCGATTGCGTGACGCTCAGTAAGCTGTAAGATGACATGTTATTATATACCAGACGTAAAAACTCTTTAGATTCTCAGTCTGCATTTTGTACTCACTTTGCAGTCTGCAGTCTGCATTTTGTACTCACTCTGCAGTCTGCAGTCTGCAGTCTAGATTTTGTATCCGGTCTGCAGTCTGCTGTCTGCATTTTGTACTAACAGGTATCCGTGGCACCAATACAGTTTATTTTTGGTTACATTTATTCGCACAACACACATAATCTACCATAATCTACCTCAAAATACCTGTATGTGAGGTAATTCGACATTTCCGTTCTTTTCCGCGTTAATACTCTTCTTTCCTTTGGCAAGAATGTAGATCACTTACAATGTTTCAAGTAATCCACCCACCCTACAAAAAATAACTCTTGCATGCATAGCATGCCTATGTTTGAAATAGGTGTATGCCCTTGGCCAGACTTGAGCTAGCTATTTCAGTATACTAGTCCGACACCCGTTGTATCACTACACTTGATTCCAAGGATCCAGTACCATCCAGGTCTCCCAGTTACCCTGCTCACAGGGTCTAGTTGTATTTTAAATAAATCTCTTAAGATAAGATTCAACGTTCTGCAAAAAATAATCAGTTGAAAATTATTATGCCTGTATTTTTG